GAGGCAGATGCCAGAACCACTGAGCTAAATCCCCACCCTGAAGCAGATTTAAAATCTCTTCGACACACAACTCCCGACAGCCATCAGCAAGCCTTCAGCCCCAGCATGACAGCCCTTCCCCAGGACCCAGAGTCCTGCCAGCACCTAAGGCCTCAGCTGCCACAGTTTCCAGTCACACCCACCTGTGTGTCCCTCATCGCTGCTGGCCTCACCTGCAGGACAACATGGTCACTTTTTTGTTGCTTTTGGACACTCAACTCTAAGGGCTCCTGAGCTGTCACCAGCGGTCTACCCCTCCTGCCCCCACTGTGTTCAGCCAGTCAAGCTGGATTGCTACTGACCCTTGCTGCTGGGCCTTCTAGCAAAGGCTGCTGTCCCAGGGGCAGATCCCACTCTTTCCTGTCTCCCCTGCCTGTCACATTTGATCAAGCCATGTCCCAAATAGGGGGAGAAGCTGAAAGACACTAACTGTGATTTTCATTCATGCTCCCTCCTAATCTCAGAGGGAAGTTTGCATTATTCTACCAATTTTAATGTGAAGAGAATTTTAAGGAAGAAAAGAAGGTACGGGACTCTTAGCTGTTCATGAAAAGTGGGGAGGTAACCCCTAGTGTTGTCCCAGACTGAGAGTTCCCAAACTGTGATGACCACCACCAGCTACACCCAGTTTCTCACCCACTACACAGGCAAAGGGCCCCATCTCCGCTCACCATAGGGGTGGTCCCAACTTTCACTTAGCAACAAACTCTCCTTTTGTGTTTCTTTCATGCTGCTTGCTGCCAAATAGAGAGCTGTCCGTCTATATGACTCTTTTCTCGTCCCACGTGGCTTTAAAAATCCTCTTCCTGAGCACCCTGAGTATATGTGTTTGGGACCCAGTGACTTAACAGTGTAGATCTAAGGCACTGGCTTTCTGAACCTTGTGCTTCAGAATCATCTGCTAGCTTGTTAAAAATAGAGATTCCTGGGCCTGTCCTGGGTCTGTCCCTACTCCGTGATTCCCTGGGAGGAGGCTGGAGGGTGGATTTATAACTGTACTAGACCAGTGTTCTTGTGCACCCGGAAGGGTGGTCTTGAGCAGAGGCAGTGGTGGAGGCACCGGGGAACTCACTGAAGTGCCAGGTCTCCCTCTCCACCCCAGACTCAGGATCGGAGCATAGGCGGGGCTCACTCAAGTCTGGGAACCGCCTCTCTGGGTGATTCTGAGCACAGTCTACTCAGAGCTGTTGTTCATCTGATTCCACCTGTGGCTCCTTTGGGCCCACGCAGTGCAATCCAAGCAGCAGGGAGCAAACACAGGACACCTTTCGTCTGCTCCAGGCCACTAGCCTGTAGGGGAGGGACAGCCTGTTCCGAGGCTGCTGGCACACCTGGCAACCACTTCTGCCGGACTCTAGACAGGCAGCCAGGCAAGGCCCTTCTGAAAGGCTCCATTCAAGGATGGATGATGGGCAAACACCACCACTTTTTTCCTTTCCCCTGCACCTGGAGCTGGAACCAGAACAGTTGGCAGCTTCTGCTTTGGCCCCAGGAAAGAGACCAGGCAGAAGAATATTAATCCTCACCTGCAGCAAAGCCGGCCCCTGGGAAGGAGCTGGCCAGGGGTTTGGGAAGAAGGCAGGGCTCCCGGAAATGCATCAGGTTCCTGGGTGCGGGTTGACAGCTCCTCTGCTTCCCCAGCCCAGGGCCGAGGTGTAGCTAGTGCTTGGATGGTGGGCTGCTCTGATGGTTTCCAGATGGAGTCTGCAGGGCTCTCAGGCTGAGCGGGACACAGGGAAGGCCCATCACCCATAGGGGCCCAACAACAGCGTTGAAGCCAAGATGGAAACCTACACTGTAACCTAGGGAGGGCTCGGCACTTGAGCGTGGAACTGATGGCCACCTCTGTTCCCCTGAGCAGCCTCAGTCTCCTTTCCTATCAGTATCTCCTTCAATTTCACAATACTGTGCCTTTACATCCCATTATAGCCACTTAACAAATCCTGCCTTCCTACCTACTTTGTCCGGAGGGCTACGAAGCTGGTGCTCAACACCACAAAATGGTAAAAGTGAGGCCGGAGTCTTCATTTTCTGTCTCCACCCAGAATGCGATCACAGTGAGTTGAATTGTGTCCCCCAGAAAAGAGCAAAGTCCTGTCCCCTTGTTACACTGGTTAACATTGTTTGGAAACAGGGTCTGTGCAGAGGTGATCAGATTCAGCTGAAGTCACTTTGAGGGCAACCCTAAATCCCATGACTGAGTTTTTTATTAGAGAAAAGAGGGGGGCAGGCATGGAGATACAGAGCCCCATGTGAAGACAGGCAGGGCTGGGGCAGCAAGGGTTGCTGGGAGCCACAAGAAGCAGGGAAGGATTCTTGCTGGAGCTCTCAGAGGAAAATGTGGCTGTGCCGATGCTTTGGCTTCAGACTTTCAGCCTCCAGAGAGGAGAAAACATAGGTTTCTGTTATTTTAAGCCAGTCGGTTTGTGGTTATTTGTCCGGGCAGCCTTAAGCGACTAATGCCATGATCCCCTGCCAACCCACAGCCCAGCGACGGACCTTCCCAGGGCTGGCCGGGCTCCTGTATGTGGCCTTTTACTCCATCTCCATGAGGGAAAGTAATTGTTTCCATGTGAACGGTGCTCCAGAGTTTACAGGCTCTGACAATATCTAAGCCTTCACTCAATCCCCACAATTGTCCTGTGGGCTTTAACTTTTGTTGACCCCATTTTATAGAAGTGGAAACTGAGGGCCAGAGAGATGGAAGCAATTATCTCCCGATCTCATGACAGCAAGCAAAAGAACCAAGGCTGACCCCAAACACTCTGACTCCTAAGGCAAGGCCTTTCTCGGTCAATTTCTGTATCATGAAGAATAATCACACACACACACACACACACACACACACACACACACACACACCCCAAAGGACACAGCCCTGGGAAAGCAACGGATCCACCATCCGGTCAAGGAATCGAGCCTGGCCTGCCTCCCAGGTGCTGCTGCCGGGCACTCCCCAGGGTGGCCGCTGTCCTCCACCAGGCCTGTTCTCCAGCCGGACCTGTGTGTCACTAAGAATCTGTGAGGCAGCAGGAAAGAGTCAGGAGCCTGTATGAAGGCCTGGCCCAGCCCCAACACACAATCTCCCGGAGGCTGTGTCCCTCCCTACGGCTCTTCCCCACTCCTTTCTCAGGGATGAACAAGACAGAACACAACTGCCAACCGGAAATGGGCTTTTCAGAGCCATAAAACGCTGAGAGGGGCTGCTGCTTTTTTGAAGCAGTTAAATCATAGACATTCAACAAGAAGAGGGAGGAGCAAAGGGCAGAAGGATGGGTGCAAGGATGGGATGGTGATGGATGGGCTAAAGAAATAAAATAATAATTACCCAGTGCCCCAGACCCCCACGGCTCTGCTATCCAAGCAAGAGCCAGCAAGATCCAATCCTGTTAGTTTGACTTCACATTCCCCAGAGGCAGGGCAACCCACATAGCTCCCGGTTGCTCCTTCCTGTGTGAGTCTGTGACCTTTCTCCTCTCCAGGAGCCCAGGCTTCCATTCATGGTACCAGAGGAGAAGCAGGAGGAGGGGAGAAGAGGACGGGCCAGGCAGAGGCTCCGTCCGGGAACTAGAGTCCCTGCCATCACCCTGCCTGACTCCCTGGGCCACAGAGCCTGTGCTCTGACCTAGGGGTTGGGGGTTAGCGCTGATCAGACACAGCTGCTCGCCTGCCCAGGCTCCCAGATGAGAAGAGACAACTGACAGATCCCTCTGCAGTGGGCACCTCCGGTCAAATGTGCCTCTGGGCTGGCCCTGGGGGCTCAGCTGCTGAGGCAAATGAGCCTGAGGCAAAAACACTGGAGCTGCTGGAGCGCTGACAGGAGGGAGGGAATGGGAGCTGGGGAGTGACGGCCAGCTACCAGTTGCAGGGGGAGACAGTGGGGGCCTGAGGAGAGGGCTTTCTGCTGTCTCCTTACCTTGGGTTGTGGGCCAGGTGGATCAGGTCTCGGAGTCCCTGGAGAATTTCCTACGCTGGGATCGCTGCCTGGGAAAATGAGACCTCCTGTGTTCCAAGAAGGCTCAGAGGCTCTCAAAACACTTCGGACTCAGAATGTGTCCCATCAAAGTCACTTCCCCATGGTGAGCCTGAGTTTCTATACCTGATCACAGTAACAATTTTTAGTTTACTAAGCACACATCATCCTCCCTGTCTCCCTCACAGGGATACTCTGAGGACCGGTAAAATACATAGTTCTTAAAAGAGTTGGCATAGGCTTACCAAGGACCAAGCAATTCCACTCCTAGGTAGGTATGCACCCCCCAAAACTGCAAAGAGACCCAGAATTTGCTCACACATGTTCATAGTGACACTATTTGCAATCGCCAAATAGCAGAAACGACCCGAATATCCATCCACAGAAGAGGTAAATGTGGTCTATGCATGTATGTGTGTGTATGTATCAAATTCGGCCAGAAATAGGAAAGACGAAGTGATACACGCTGCATGGATGAACCTGGTGACATCATGCTGGGCGAAAGAAGCCGGACACAGAGTCACATATGCGGTTTCTTTTATAGGAAATATTCAGATGGGCAGATCCATGGAGACAGAACACACCGGTGGTTGCCAGGAAATGGGAAAGGGGAAAAGGGGGGAAGGGAGAAGCACTCTAGCCTTGCAAGATTTTTAGAAAC